CCCCCCAAATCACAATCGGCCATTCCCCCCGATTTCGCGAATTTCTCTCGAAATCCCCCCGCAAGCCCCGACACGTCTAAAATGCCTGAAACAAAACAACCGGCTCCTCGAGGGCGTCGCCGTAGACAAGCCGGACAGCCCCCACCGCGCCTCCCCGAGATCCCCTCGACTGACGCATCACCACGTGATCCCTCGCGACTTCTCCGCATCTTCCCCACGAATGCACCTCTCGGCGAAGCTCCCCAGGTGCTCACGTAAGCCCCTCGATCCCCACCCCCTCGCCCGTCGGCCCATCACACGCGGCCGGGCGTCCGTTGCATAATGACGCGTGAGGGCAATCCTCTTACCTAATTCCCAAAACCTCCGAAAAGGTCCCCGATCACCCCCGGGGCCTTTCCCCCCACCGAAACAGCCCCGCACATCCGACGATTGTACTTCCACGTATACTGAACACACCGAGACGAGGACGGAGAGAGGAGAAGCCTCTCTCGCGCCGACGTTGAGCCATGGGAGGGCGAGAGGGGCGCGGCGAGATGGCGACGACACTCACAAAAACCGAACAAATAACCGAGTTCAACGACAGCAAGACCTACCCCGGTCAACCCCTCGCCAGAAATCCCCCGGCAATTCTCCCAAAAATCCCAGCACTCTCCCTCGTCCCTCGTAAACCACTCACTCGGTTTCAAAAACCACGCGTTTGACCCGCACTGAGCGCTGTCGGTTGTGTGACTAGCGGAAATGGCGGCGGCAAAAAATCAAGAAAAAAGAAACCCAACGAAAGCGAGAGAAAAAAAAAATGAAGAAAGAATTCCCTCACAATCCCAATCGCGTCGTCCTCCCCATCGCCATGAATCCCAAATAATGGACACATCACTTCAATTCATGGAGAATCCCTTTGTCACTGGACACCCGACACAATTCACTAGTTCCCTCACTCCACAGTAAATCGCGAATATTCACTGAACGACATAAAGAGACCATAGATCACTCCAACACGAGACCACTTCGCGTCTACACCACGAGCATCACCTCCCCTACAACTGCACTAAAAATATTATCAAAAATACAGACCCCCTGTGCCCCCCGCCCTTCCCCCCGCGCCCCTAGAACCGACGAAAAACCCCAACAAAAAAAAATATGCGAGACTGCAGCGCAGATATTAAAATCGTCACACCCAAACCACTTCAACAAAGTTAAACCACGTAATAACGTACATATACCGTATTCCACCAGTATTCCCATCATCACACACCATTAACTGGATAATCCTCGTTGGTGGCCGTAATTTTGAACAAGCATGACGCGGTTACGATATACAAACGTATTTTCGAGCCCGTTCAGTCCTGCTGAAACACTCCTGACGCTCTTGCCCGCCGATTCCTCTTGTTTTCTCCCCTCCCCTGCTCAACGTTCCTCCCCTCTGGCCCCCCGCGGCCCCCTATCCCCACCAGTTTCTCTATTTTTCCGCTTCAACGTCGATTCGGCGAGTCTCGTCTTTTTCTCGACACTCGCGCTCTCCGTTTTCCCTTTCATTCTAATTCCCCCTCCCCGACCGGACCTGCCGACCCTCCCCCCTATCGCGACGCCCCCTGCACCTAGAGCTGCCGTTAGCGATTTCAATGCACTATACACGAGTGTTGGACTTACAGCGTCACGACTCCAACTTTGTGGACCGGAAAAAACGGAATGACATCGGAGGAACGACTGTCTTTTGCCTCAACTCACCCAGTGACCATCTTCCCCCTCCCTCCGGCGCCCCTATGCCCCCTCCCCCCAAACCCCTTCGAGACCCTCTAAAGGTGGTACTGGTTTTTGGGGGGCAGCTGGGATTGGGATGCACTGTGTGTTGAGGAATGTTTGGGAATTTTTATTTGAAGCGTCGGGTTTTTTTTTCGAGGGGTATTGCGATGAGCGGTCGTTGGGTATCGACGTAAGAATCCGGGGGAAATGTTAGGGGAGGGGGTTTGAGAGTGCGTTGTAAGGTTGTCGCGATGAGCGAGGGACCAATAGGGGCGAGGGTTTGCGACGGATGTAGGGGAGCGGGGCAGGGTGGGGCCAATGGGAGACGGGGGATTTTGAAATGGCGAGGACCGAAAGGCGGTTTTCATGAGTTCGTCTAGGATTGCGGCGCCGCTAGGGGGCTTTTAGGGGGGGGGTGGGGGGTTCTTGTCAGCGGTCATAGGGTTATGATTTGGGAGGTTGTGGTGCTGTGGGTGATGGGAATGTCAAAGTGAGGGATAGTTTTGAGTGATTTTGAGGGGTCGATAGGGATTGTTTGAAGGAGTTGTTGGTGAGTTGCAATTTTTGGGGTTCGGTTTCGGAGATTTTGGGGGATTTCAAGCAGCTTCTAGGGGTTATTCATTCTCTGATGATGAATGTTATGTTTTTTATTCGTTATTTTTCTACAGAGGTGTGAAATTTTGATTTCTAGGGTATGGAATTCATGTTTTAGGAGAATTTTTGAGCAAGGGCGGGTGGGCTACCTTTCGAACGCGTTTTTGGTAGTTTTTTTAGTTTGATAATCTGAACTGATCTCCAATTGCTGTTCAGTTTTACATAGCCCTGGAGTCTCCAAAAATTATGATTGTGCAATCAAAAAAACGTTGAAAAAAAGCGGAACATTTTCAAAGAGCGTTTTTGAATAATATTGGGAAACAAATCCAATAGGGAGGAAATCGCAAATTAATAATTTGGCGAAAATCGTATTTTTTCATATCCAAGGAAAATTCTTTAATTTTTTTGGCTAATATAGCAAAATGGAACTAGTATCTTTGATGTTAAAAAAAATGTTGAGGGAAAGAAAAAATTTTTTTTGAATCTTTTTTCAAATTCACATGGCACCCTTAAGCGGGTTAAACCCAATAAAAACGAGATAAAGATAGCTGAGGTCCTCCGAATGCCCGCAGTTGCCGGCGAAGATGCAGACGATAAGGGGCGACACCTCGGAGCGTCGCTTCGAGATAGAATGCAAGCTCGAGGGTGAAATGGGGGCGATAGAGGCCCTCCGGGGGGCCGAGGACCGGAGCAAAAAGCTCACCAGCGGTATGGTAGCGATCCTCGGCTCCCTGGAGCAGCGGCTGGCGACCCTCCGGCGGACGATCCTCCCTGTGTACAACGAGACCGGAAACCTCCAGTCGCAGCAGCACAACATAGAGCGGACGCTGAACGCCCTGGACCACGCGATCGGCTACTACGGGGTGTGCCAGGAGGTCGAGGGGGCGGTGAGAAGCGGCCCCAGCGGGGCCGGCGGCCTCGACGGCTTCCTCGACGCCATGAACCGCCTCTACAACGCGGAGAGGTACTTCCAGAAGAACAATCCGAGCTCGGTGGAGCTGGAGAACATCTCGACGCTGTTCAACGTGGGATTGGACTCGCTGTGCTCGGAATTCCACGACATCCTGGCGAGGCAGAGCAAGCCCATTCTGCCGATAATTCTGCTCGATCTCATCGGCTCGGACGAGGACACGAGTGGGGAGGACGCCCCACAGTCCCTCAATCAACTGCCTGAGAGCGCCCTGGGGGACCTGGTGAAGATCGCCATGTGGCTCGATGAGAGGGGCCACCGGAGGCACGCGAACATCTACTCCTCGGTGAGGTCGGCAATCGTTCTGCGATCGCTGCAGCTGCTGAAGGAGCACCAACGCTCCGCCTCGGGCGGGAGCACTCACGCGGGGAGCCCCATGCCCAGGTGAGGGTCCGAGGGATATCTCCTCAGGGCGAGGAGATTATTCATCATGTGCAGTCGGAGAGAATGGGACAATATTGGGGGGAAGGGGGACGAGAATAAATTCGTTTTTTCAGTCTTTTTTTATGGGCAAATTGTAATGGGTTTTGTTTATATGGCTGTATTCATACTAGGGGAGGTTGGGGTAAAACGGACACTTGACTTTTTTTTTTAAATGTTAATGAGGGCTTGAAATGTTGATAAACTTTGGTAATTTTTTTCTCAATACTAAGAGCTATTCTTTCCCTTTGTGACGAGACTAAACTGAGCTCGTTTGGTCAATTCGTTTCTGAGTTATGAATAATTGTTCTGAGTTCTGGGAAAATCGTTGAAATTAAATGACAGAAGACCGTGTCCCACCACAAATGACGATAGGAAATAATTACTGACGATTCCGAAAATCGAAAGAAATAGTCAAATGGCAATTCTCCCACAGACTTAATAAATTCAATAATTACGATAATTCTGCATATCGATTTAAAAAATCACTATGATTTTAAAACTCTCATTTAGTTCATGAACAACATTTATGCAGAATTTAAACAAATAAGAAATCTGATTCACTCTACTGTAATTACAACTTTATAGAATTCATAAGAAATTATACAAACAATTCTCAACTATTCTATTTTTCAGTTAATTTCTCGTAATTCCAAATTAATTAACAATTTTCATGTGATAATTAATTAATAATTTTCATGGGATATTTTTCATCTCATTTCCATTCCTGATTTTTCCACGAACGACGAAAGGATATAATTACTGACGATTTCGAAAATCGAAAGAAATAGTCAAATGGTAATTCTCCCATAGACTTAATAAATCCAAACAATTACGGTAATTCTGCATTTCAATTTAAAAAATGACTATGATTTTAAAACTCTCATTTAGTTCATGAAAAACATTTATGCAGAATTTACTCAAATAAGAAATCTGATTCACTCTACTGTAATTGAAACTTTATAGAATTCATAAGAAATTATACAACCAATTCTATTCTATTTTTCAGTTAATTTCTCGCAATTCCACATTAATTAACAATTTTCAGGGAATATTTTTCATCTCATTTCCATTCCTGATTTTTCCACAAACGACGAAAGGATATAATCACTGACGATTCCTGCAATCGACTGTCCCTTTGCATCACGATTATCACGAAGTCTCCAAAGCTTTGATTTTGCCTTCCCATCCCCAGGTCCAAGTTCGCCCATCGGCATTCCATTGCATCCGGGGCTGAAGCCACCAGCCGAAGAACTTCCAAGCGCCTTCAGCACGCGATCGAGAAGAAAGCCAGCAAGATGCTGATGAGAGCGTCGCAGTCCACTGGGATTGGCCTGGCGTTCCCCTCCTCCAGGAAGCCGTTGCCCTCGCTCCCCTCGAATTGCGCTCCTGAGGATGCTGCGCCCGACGAACAGGAGATGGAGAACTACCTGTTGCTGACAGCGGGACTGCACAGGCTCATGCAGGCCGAGAGGAGCCTCGTCGCAAGGATCATCCCGACTCTGCTGCAGCCCCAGGTCCTGGAGGCCACCGTCAGAGACGCCATGGACCTCGTCGCACACGACGGGGAGAGCATCGCCACGAGGGCCAAGAGGTGCATCACTAGGAGGGACTTCTCAGCTGTTCTCGTGGTTTTTCCCATTCTGAAGCATCTCGGGGAACTCAAGCCGGATTTTGAGAGGACTGTCGAGGGCTGCGATTATGCCCTGAGATCGAAGTTTGCGTCGGTTTTGAACACTCTGAATACGACGGTGAGTTGGGGGAATGGAAACTGTAGATTTTTGATTAATTGGTTCATGAGAATTAGTTAAAGTCAAGGAAATACAGTCTTCAATTCAGTAGCGAAGCGGTAAAACGATTTAAGTCGACTTAGCTCTCAGCTTCGTTTTTGAGGAATATCTCCGAATATGAGAACGATAGCGAAATTTTCGTAATTAACTTTTTCGTAGCGCTCAATTCGATCTACACAAAAGGTTTTAACAAAAAATGTTCTATCTCCCTTAGATTCCGAGATACTCATTGAAAACTGACCAGTAGTCAAAATCGACTTAAACCGTTTTACCGCTTCGCTACTGAATTCAATTCGTTGGAAATTCAGGGTAATTTGGGGCTGAATACTTACGGTTTTAGTGTGCAATTTTATTATTATAAATTTAATAAATTAATAACATTAGTTTTTTAATGATTTATTTTATTTTATCCATTTTAATAAATTAACCAATTTTATTAATTTATTAAATTTTTGCTGCCTCATGAAATTTCAATTTTTTTTCTCATATAATTAATCCACAATGTCACATTATTCCAAATTGCCTCATTATTCCCTTTTTTCTTTCGTTGAAATTCTTGTCAAGATGTTTCGTCATTTTACAATTACTTCTTTATCAATATCGAATTCGATTCTTTACCCTAAACAGCTAAAAATAGTCAAGATATTAGAAAGAAAAAAGGTGGAAAATCCACTTTGGAAGATTTATAAAATAATCGAACCAAATTCAAAAAATTATGACCTTTACCATAAATAATTTATAAAAATTGATTTCCCAATTTCCATTGTTTATGCGTGGGAAAGAAGTGTTAAAAAAAACGGAGTATTTAGAGAAACTAGAAATATTGAAATGTTAAAAAGTTCATTCTCTCTTAAATAGGGAGCAAAAGCTTTAGAAGATTTTGCAGAGAGTGTCAGAAATGAGTCTGGAGCTGCACTACCCAAAGACGGAACAGTAGCTGAATCCACAAGCAACGTCCTTGTGTTTCTCGAGCAGTTATCCGAAAATGCTGAAACAGCGGGGATTGTCTTACGCCGGAACAATGAAGTCGAGTCGATATCAACTTCCAGCGCTAAACAAACAGAGAACACCCACAGAGTTCTCCTCGGTGTCTACATCAGTGAGTGTCAATAATAATGTTAATTAGGCTATTATTACTATTCTACTGTTATTAAATAATGAGAAAATCCATTGGGGTGTCACTCGTGGAAGTATTTTTTGGCTAGTGTATGCAAAGTACGTAAAACTGTACAATTAGTATTTAGTAAGCAAAAATTCTACTCTAATTCTACTAGAGTTTAATCAATTAATCATTGATTATTGAATCGATGAATGAGTGCCTGAAATTAAATTTTACTCATTTTCAGAGAAAGTCCTCGCCCAACTGAACCTCGCTCTCGTCAGCAAGAGTGACACTTCTTACTCAGATCCAGCGTTACGAGCCTTATTCAAACTAAATAATCATAATTATGTTGTGGAGAAACTCCGCAACAGTACTCTGTTGGAACTGCTACTGTTGGCGGAATCCACTGCTGCACAAACTTACCAGGATCTTCTCGTCAAAGACAAGACTAATTATGTTTCGGCGACTTTTGCTAAAGCAAGGGCCTATCTCGAACATTCTGGTGATGAACCTGGTATGCAAATGGAACATTTTAATACCTCAAAGTACAATTTCATTGTGAAATGGGAGAATGGAATGGGTCAACTCAATTCAAGAATCATTTTTTTATGAATTTATTTGGATTCCAACGAAATTTTCATGGGAATCTTTTTATAGATTTGTTTTCTTTGGCAATAAATGGCTTAAAAAAAGATTCTCATAAAATTTTCCCATTTGTGAGATATTTTCGACGAGCTGATTCGTTAAGAATTGAAATTGACTCGTCACTTTCTTCCTGAAAAGGAAATGAATTGGTTTTTAATTGAATTAACTCATTGCGTTCTCAAATTTTCATGAAAATTTGGGTTATAATTCTCATTTCTACAAAAAATATGTTTTTTCTAAATTTTCCTAAAACTTACCTGTTGAAACTGGGAATACATCGACTTATAATCAAATTAACTCATTTGATTTTCAAAATTCTATGAAAATTTCTCTAAACATCGTCTCAAGAAAATGTTCCCACATTTTTTTATCATTCATGAAATATTTTTTACAAAAACTGCTATATTAAAGTAAAAATTGTTTCATTCATTCTCATTTAAACGAGAATACATCAGTTTATGATCGAATTAGATTATAGACTGATTTATTCCGATTTATAAACGTTCCCACATTTTTTGTTCATTCGTGACATATTTTTTTTTCAAAAACTAATCTCTTAAAATAAAAATTACTTCATTCTCTCTCATTTGAATGAGAATGAATCGCTTTACAATCGAATGAGATCATATAATTTCTCAACCTAAATATCAAGGCATTATTTATGATTGTCCAGAGCTCGCAGTGAAGTCCCTGAAGGAGCGTTTCTCCGGATTTTCCCGCGAGTTCGAGGAGTCTGCGAAGAACCAGCGCACCTACTCAGTACCTGACGCGCGTCTTCGTGAGACACTTCGCCGAGAGTTGCAGCACTCCCTCGTCCCCCAGTACTCCGTATTTTACAACAAATACAGAAATACTCCGTTCACAAAGAACCCAGCCAAATACATAAAATACACACCGGAACAAGTGACGTCATTGATAAAAACGTTTTTTGATACAGCAGCCTGAGGCTCGTTATCGTGGGAGAAGAGATATAAGTCACATTGTTTTAGTAAACACCCATTTAATAAAGCAAATTTAGTTACAATATCTATAATAATTCCATGCTTTCGATGGCTCGAGTTTAATCCCAGTTGTTATCGTGCTCATTGAATCTGTTCCCATTAAAATTGATTATTTAAAAATTTGTCCTTCATTTATCTGATTGCAAACACTTTCAGGCTGTTGATAAGTCATTAATCCGATCTGGGTTTATGTGATAACAAAGCTCAATGGTTCGATTTCATCGGAATAATTGAGATTTTGGCATGAAATTTTTAGCTTGAACTTCAATTTATTCAACGATAAAAATTCCACGCGAAAATAATTGATCTTTGAAATCAGCTAGGGGTGAGTTTTTTGAGACTCTCTTTGAGTTCTTGATGTCACAGGGTTTTTCATTGGAAATTTTCGTAATGTTTATTCATCTATGCGTGCAGAAAATGGGAAGTAATGGAGAGAAATCCGTAAAAAACTATTGATTGTACTGAATTTTTTGAAATTACGAGTTACATTTTCGATATTTAATCATTTTTTATTGAGATGAATCATTATTAGCCTGAGAGAAACATAAATAACTCTCAGTCTCATAAAAAATGAATGTTATAAAAGTAGGAAGCAAACTAGATTTTTTTCTTGACATTTCTACACTTTTATTCATAAAATTCTTGATCTAAGAGTTTGTAATTTTAAAAAATTCACAAGGGCAGAACAAAATGATGGCAATAAAGGAAATCATCTACGCATGCAAATAAATATACAATTTTTCTTTCGTTTTCCCAAAATAAAAATTAAAAAATTGAGTTTATTGGCAATAATAAATGACTTTTCCTCATTTTTTCTTGCAAGAAATCATTATTTTAATCAATCAGACCTCAAATAAATTCTTCAAGTCTCATAAAACCCGAAATAACTCTCAATCTCCTAAAAAAAATTGAATATCATAAACAAAAGGACGCAAACCACAATTTTTCTTGGTATTTCTAAATTTTTATTCATAAAATTCTTGATCCAATGCTTTGTAATTGAAAAACTCACAAGAGTAGAATAAAACAACGAAAATAAAGGAAATCATCTGCTGTTTTCTCTCAAAATGCGAAAAATCTCGTAATTTTTCAGTCATTGTCACCAAAATAAAAATTCTGTTATAAAAAAATAGAGTACACTAGCAATAAGAACTGACTTTTTCTCAATATTTCCCAGATTATGCATGCACAAAACACGACAATTCTCAATACAAAGTCCTGTGGCTGCGAAAACTTGCAAGTCTCCCCTCAATAAAAAAATGTATATGAACGCTCTAGTTGGAGAATGAAATTTCGCGACTGTGAAATCCCTCATTTCATTTGTTAAAAACGATATTTACCAACGAATCCGTTAAAAAATAAATTTCCCCTCATAATTTGTCGACAAAAAGCACAACTCGGCCACTCGACAAGTTTTCCCATAATTTTCATCTCGTATTTTTGTCTTTTCCATTATTTTTCGTATATACTCAAATATATATATAAAAAACAAGTAACGTTTTTTCTCCCTTTTGTCGATTTAGTTTCGATTAGTAGCTTACACATACGACGCGATGATGACAGTAATAGGAATGAGTTTGAACTCCAGCAGTTATTTACAATTATTTGCTATTTCATCACTCGCTCACTTGCATCTATTTTTTTACGTTTTATTTATTTTGTTGTATAACCCACGCGTTCGTAACATTCATACTTTACCTAGTCACACCGAGGATGAATCCAAATAAAAAACTTTAATTCTCTGGTTTTTTCGGATTTTATTGGCCTATTGTTAATACGTCATTTCGGTGCAACTCACTCACCTTTCTCATCACTTCAACTAGTTAATAGTTTTTAGTTTATATTCTTCGTAGGCGAGGTACGGATGAGAGTGATTTTTTTGTTCTGGAATCTATGATTCAGTTGTGGAATGGTGAGTCGTGAAGAGTTGATTTACACGTCTGAATAAATGTGCGATTATCTCGAGAATTAATGGGCCGAGGGAAAAGTGTCAGAGGACATTTTTTGTTGGAAATTCAATTCTCTACAAAAAATGACTTATGATATTTCATCTTAAAACCGCTAGTTTTTGAGATAATTGCACAATTACAAGGGAATAAAAATCGAGTCATGTTTTAGGAGTGAATTTCTTGTTAAATTAGAATGCAATTATCTTGATGACGAGTGATTTTAGGACAAAAAGTCACGAGAAACATTTTTTTGCAAATTAAATTCCCTGCAAAAAGTTCCTATGACATTTTTTTCTAAAACCCCTCATTTCTGGAATAATTGTACAATTACAAAAACCAAAAAAAAATCGAGTCATTTCACTTCATCAATTCCTCACAAATTCATATGCAATTATCTCAGTAACAAATGGCATTATCAAAAAATATCACAAGACATTTTCTGCAGGAAATTATATTCTCACCAAAAAGTTCCTCAACCATTTCCCTCCAAGCCCCCTCCCTCCCGAAATAATTACACAACAAAAACAATCAACTCATCACATCCCTCAATTCCCCCTGCAATTACAAAAACCGCAAGTTGTGCGAGAGCAGCGAAATCCGGATTCCCTAACGAAGCCAATAAATACGGATCGAGAGAGCACCAAAGAATGCACTCGCCTAAACCCCTCAGTCCCTCGTCTCACCGCCTTCAACACCTAAAACTTGCACGACTCTAGAGCATGGTTTGCATATAATTATCATAATTTCTCGTAATAACTATTTCTCTTTCGTTTATGTTCATTACGTCTAAACCATTTTGTATTGTGCATCGAGTCCCCAATAACAGCAGCGACAATCACATTGTCCCAGCAATTATTGTCAACGAGATGAGAAAATTATTTCATTTCATATATTCTCTAGTTTATTTCTTTCCTCCCCTGTACACGATTGGTTCAAATTCTCTCGACTCTGACGAGTCCCTTAAAAAAAAACATTTCAACTTTTAGCGATTCAAATTTCCCTTGATTTTAAATTTATTCCATCGACGCTGAGTTTCCTTGACTCACCTCGATCGTGATTCATAATAATGCAAGGAAAAATGTTATTTAAATAGAAAAAAATAACGTTGTACATTGAATGTTCCACTGTACGGAAACCACGGATTTTTTAAAAAATGCGGTTCCACACACATTCCACATAATTTTCGTTCGTATTTAGTTCTCCATAAATACATTTGATAAGCTCTCTCTCCCTTTCATTATTTTTTTTTTCCTTCACTGTACACTCGGTATTTTGTGCGCTGATAATCAACTCCTGCCACTTTAATATTCCCTACAGTAATAGAGAGGAGAAGGAGGGAAAAACAATAGATAATTTTTCACTTGATCCACGCTAATTCAACTTCTCTCGGGACGACAGGTGACACACGCTCGAGGGTCGATCAGGCGTCGTTGATAAAATTAATATTATAGGAGGCAACACTTGCGCTTTGGTTTTGCCTGTAGTACTGGACATAATACCGCGCGTATCGCCTCGTCGAACACTGTCTTCAGGCCCTTTTGCGTCAGGGCTGAGCACTCCAGATACTTTACTGCTCCAATTTCTTTGGCCATTGCCAATCCCTGGAAAGACAGTGTGATGTTAATTGATGGGATGGCATCTTCGTGAGAATTAAGTGAGCTAAATTGTGGGAGGAGTGCAAACGGTGATTAAACGATTTAACAATTTATTCAATGTTTTTGCACATTTATGGCTCGAGCATATTTTCTAAACCTTCGAGTGACAAGGAGAGATAGAATATTGGAGTACTGGAACACCAATTCTCTCCGAAATTCGTCAGAAATTAATTCAAGGGATTTTCTTCATTTTAAAGGTATTTTTTTAAAGTCGTGTAAATATAGCTTAAATTTTGAAGATGCAAATCGGAAATAAATTCTAAGCGAAAGTTGATGTGAATAAAAACATTCTGGTGTAAGAATGGGAAAGTAACACAGTCTTGTGTAGAAAACCTAAAAATCTAAAAAAATTGAATAAATGAATAAAGATTTTATGCTGAATACAAAAATTATCGTCAGTGTCAAACTTTTGTGATGAATAATTTGAGTTTGAAATGGAGACCTGGTTCATTCAAATCGCAGAATGGTCTCAATCTTTCTCAAGCTTTCTCAACTCAATTAAAGTGGTTTTTGCATTAAGATATTTGAGAATTGAGTCTAAAACCCACCAAATGAATGACTTCAATTCTACTTAGTTTGAGAAATCGTTTTCTTGTCATCAAGAAATTGTCCTCGTCTTCAGGACAAGTACAAAATTCCACAAAAATTTTTATCTTCTTCATGCAAGATATTTTGCACTCGAGAATTTTCAAGTCAGAAGTATCTCGACATAGGGTAACCTGCCCAGTAGACGGACGCCTAAGAAAACCGCCCAGTAGATGGACGTTTGTTTTTTAGCAATTGAAAAAAAAAATTGATCGAAAAAAAATCGTCGCCCAGGGGTTAACAATCCCAACAGTTAGTGAAAATTCAAAGCAACAATTCACATTTCAGTATTTTTTTGCGCAATTTCCTATCCAAAAGTAGCTCGTCCATCTATAGGGACAGTGTCCATCTACGGGGTAGCTTACCCTACCTAAAGCTGTTTTTGTCACAGCAGCAAAAGGGGAGACGGAACCCCGTTGTCATCAAATCTTAGAATTGTGTTTTCTCCTACAATTATTAATTTCTGTCTATGAAATTACTTTATCGACTCGATTATCGCATTGTTGAGTCAACCCTGATAAAACAGTGCGATTATTTCCGACTGGGTGATAAAAAATAAATTGGCGTTAATGATGTTTCTGTCTTTGCCCGTTAAATACCGATTGGCTGGTAGGTAGAGTTTGGAGTTAGAGAAAATTATGAGAATTAATGAGAACAAGGGTATGTGGCCGTTATCGTCCGATTACTTTCCGAAAAAGTGGTTGATAAATCTCATATTACGCATATAAATATTTAAATGAGCAATAAATATTAAAGATTTCATTTTCTATCACCCAGTCTGAAATAATCGGACTGTGTTACCAGGGAATGAACTAGTTTAATGAATAAGAAATAATAATTGCAGGAGAAAACACAATTCCAAAGATTCATATAAACTTAAGGGTTCCGTTTCCCCTTAAAAAAACTCAGGCAGAGTCCCCATACCTGTGGATAGGTTATAGGCGCAAGTTTTTTGTCTTTGAGTTTCTCAATGGTCTCCTTATCCTCACGCAGATCGAGCTTGGTGCCCACGAGTATAATCGGCGTGGCTGGACAGTGATGACGCACCTCGGGATACCACTTGGCCCGTACATTCTCAAAGCTCGCCGGATTCACCAGTGAAAAGCAGATGAGAAAGACATCGGTCTGAGGATAGGACAGTGGCCTGAGCCTGTCGTAGTCCTCCTGTCCGGCTGTGTCCCACAATCCTAGATTAATAGGTTTGCCATCGACCATAACATTGGCCGAGTAGTTATCGAAGACAGTGGGTATGTACTCCCCGGGGAAGGCATTGGTGGTGTAACTGATCAGCAGGCACGTCTTACCGACAGCTCTGGGCCCCAGAAAACAAACAAGACCGATTGAACAATTTCACAATTGCCAATTCGAGGACAACAACAATCACAGATGATTAAATAGGGGTATTCCTGGGGCATTCTGTCATGATGGAGTCATTAAACTCGAGAAAAAAACACGACGAGGGCGCGAAAGACAGCACCACACCCGCTGTGCACCCACGCAGAGGAGGAAAAGCCCTCGAAAAATTGGTAATTATGAGCAAAGAAATGTGTGAGAGGAATAATGAGGAGCACTCGACGTATCAGAACCCCCAATTCCCCGCCCTGTTGACGATACCCAATAAACACTCCACATTACATTGTATTTTTTACTCACCCGTCACCAACAACGACGCACTTTATCGCCTGCATCGTCGTCAAACAAACGATTCGATGCACTAAACACTTGTCTGTGAATCACTTGTTCGGGGAGTTCAGGTGTGCAGGCCAGTAAAATCAGCCACAAAAGGTGGATAAATTATAATCTGGCGGAATTCGGAGGGTATCGCGGTACACGAGACACGGAGAGACCAAGGAGCGGCCGACGGGAGCCCTCTGTCTGACGCTGGAGTCCCGGGGGCGGAGGAGTGGGGGGACGGATGGAGCGAGAGGGCTGATGCACTCGCGCTCACTCCCCCCGGTCTGTGGGCGCTGAGATGTCGTTTTTTTTCCTTCGCTCCGGTGTTTCGGAGGATTATGGTGTGGAATGCAACGTCGGCGGAGGGGCAGACCCTGAGGGAGGTCTTTTCAACGTGTAAATGTGCTCGGGAGAGAGGGACGAGTCGGACGGGGAGGTCGCTGCGGAGGAGAGGGCTCGGGAATTCGGGTTTGAGGGCTCGGGGTTTGGATGGGGCTTGATTGCTATTACTGCGGGGGTTTTTGGATTTTTAATTGGACGTGGCGCGGAGAACGGGGCTTGGGTTCGGAGGTTTCGGGGGGAACTCGTCGACAGGAATTTTTTTAGATTTTTCAACTCCATTTTTCTGGGTTTTATAAGGGAGAGTGGGGTAAAATGGCCCCTTTTGACTTTTTCAAAAATGTTGATAACTCATTTAATTTGAAATGAAATGGAATAATTTTTTCCATGGAAACGACACTTCTTCCCCTTTAGAATGAGTCTAGACTGATCTCAATTAATGAATTTATTCCACAGTTGTGAGTATCACAGAAAAGTCAAAAGGGGTGTTTTACCCTACTCTCCCTTATTTTTTAATTTTTTTGTTGGAAATGGTGCGGAGAACAGGGTTTGGATTCGGAGGTTTCGGGGGAAACTCGTCGACAGGAATTTTTTTAAATTTTTGAACTCGATTTTTATGTTCTTTATTTTTTTTTATTTTTTAGTTGGAAACGGTGCGGAGAACTTGGATTGGGAGTTTTTTCGGAGGAATTCGTCTACATGAATTTTCCAAGTATTTCGCGTAGTATTTTTTTGCTGTTTACATAAAAAATTGGTTACATTAAGAAATCAATAAAAACACTTGGATAATTTCAGCCAAGGAAATTATAGTTCAAAAATGACAGAATTTCAATTTATAGTTTAAAAATGACAGAATTATTTATTTACTTTATTATGATTTATCATTTTATTATTTATTTTTTACTATTTAGAATTTTTAAATTTATAATTGAAAAATGGTCAATGGATCACAAGCTTTAAAAAATGTCAACATATGATCAAAACGTCAATGTCCGGATAAATACAATTCATCGAACCTTCGACATTTTTTCCGCTTTTTTAAGTTTCACTTTCCACGAGGAAAACGAGTGGAAAAAAAGTGGCGAAGAATTAATAGAGCGAGCGCGGGTCAAAGCCCGATGATGAAAAAATATTTGAAAAATAAGCGATCAAAATGAAAAATAACTTCAGCTTCTTGACAAAAAATTGAAAGAGTAACGAATAATTTTCGTGATAACTTTTGAATGAAAAAAAAATAGGAGAGTTGAATCACTTCTGCTTGAGGTGGAGTTGCATAAGGGTGATGTCATTCGACAGTTTTATCTGCACTGTGGGATTTTTCGTTTAGGTATTAATTAATTAAGGCAGTGCCCCAGTTTCGGAACTCGTTTATTCCGGCTAATGGATGGCCATATAACTCGGACGTCCGGGAGTGGCGGAAGGTGGGGGAGAGGGCGACTCGGGATTTTTCACTGCTGAAGAATTTCCCTCGTTAGATTGAGTCACACAGATTGTGTGTCATTCCAGTCACGATGTGCGATGATATTGGCTTTATCATCGATAGATTATGAATAGCGAAAGATAACGCGGGGCTGTGAATTGATGACGGAATTGAGTTTTTCTGTGACGGATGCGATGATGCTTGTTGGCTTGACAATTCCATATACAATATTGCATGATTAATCTGAAATTACTGGAGTGACTCCACGATCACTTTGTTTTTTCGGGATTTCTAGAAAACTAGAGGAGCTAGCGTTTCAATTCCAATTGCATTTACTTCGTGAGGAAATTTAAGATCGAGATTAATTTGAGACACCTGGGAGTGCTCAGAGGACGCTTTCCAGCTAAAAGCCACATTAATTTTTAGCTGAAATTTGTCATTAGTTTATTTTTATTGTCAGGACTACCCGATGCTAAAAATCGAATTAAAGTTCAACATGTTATTGCAATAAATTTATCTCCACCGTCTGACAAATTGTTTCGTTTTGCTTATAATTTTTAGCTGAAAATCACATAAGTTTTGCCTTTCTGAGAATTCCTCGAAAGCTAAAAGAGTTGGCGTCCTCAATCCAATTGCATTCAACTCCTGAGGAAATCTGCAATCTTCCCAGGTACCTGAAAATGCCCACAAGTGCATTCTGACGCTTTGATGGATTATAATTATCATGCGATAACTTTAACTCAATTTTGATTCAATTCCCACGCAATTAATTACCTACCAGTGATGCCAGTCGCCACCTACTATTCCGGCTAATGGCAATTCCACTATCCAACTCCTGTCACGTCTCTCCGAAAAGGGGGGCTTACCGACGACTGTACTCAAGTCAACTGAACATGAGTCATGTCACAGAACAGATAATGTAAACCATCAAATTAGACACACGCATAAATTACGACGAAAAATTTTGCAATGTACCAGTATAATTGTGGACATGGAAAAGGACTACAAGTATTTTGTGACATGAGAAATGATGAGAGAATAATTGGAGTGCAATAATTGGGCGCGAAACTGAGTGGGAATTCAAATTGACTCCACACCATTAATTTTACATTGTTGACTATACAGAAATGAACCATGTGAAAAGGGCCGCTCTCAATCATCGGGACTCTGATGAAACTGTTGATATTATTTTCTGAACACGGAATGCAATATTAGATATTATGTACGGAGGGATTCTATTGAAAATAAANCAAATTAGACACACGCATAAATTACGACGAAAAATTTTGCAATGTACCAGTATAATTGTGGACATGGAAAAGGACTACAAGTATTTTGTGACATGAGAAATGATGAGAGAATAATTGGAGTGCAATAATTGGGCGCGAAACTGAGTGGGAATTCAAATTGACTCCACACCATTAATTTTACATTGTTGACTATACAGAAATGAACCATGTGAAAAGGGCCGCTCTCAATCATCGGGACTCTGATGAAACTGTTGATATTATTTTCTGAACACGGAATGCAATATTAGATATTATGTACGGAGGGATTCTATTGAAAATAAAAGGGACAAGAAAATTATACACAATGGTAATGTGCTGTTAATTTTTTCCTCCCTTCGGATCGGCAAGTTATTAATTAATCCTCAATTTTTTTCTATGGTGTCATTAAAAATTAATAAAAATAATCCTTTGAAAAGGAAATCCCGAACTTTTGAAATGTTCCCATTTCTCCATTATTTTCTCTTTATGCAATTCGTGAAAATCTATATCCTCCGCTCTAATAATAACCTCCTTATTTTCTTCATTTCAAAAACTGTACCACAATTAATTAAAAATTCTCCTTTCACCAAATCTGATTATACTTTCATATGTATGATATGAGAGCGAGGGAGAAAAGTCAAGGCAGGTGTAAGTAGTCCACTAAACACTCTTCAAAATTACGGAGCGCATCTGCTGCTGCGTTGAGGATAAAAGGAGCGTGGCTTCTGGCTTATGTTGTCGGCACTACAGTATATAGTATATATGATGCTTGCAATGACGGGGAAATGTCTTCACACTGAAACCCCCACTCTATCTAATTCTCACGGCAATACGCGTCTCCCACCACTACTGCAATGCAATTGCGTTCTCCGGTTTCAAACAGTATACATGTGTGTACCAGAATCTGCTTGAGTACATTGACACGCGAATGGCATTACTTAAGTACAAAATGGTGGGAGATACATATAATACGAGGATAGAAGCGAGTGAAATAGTCCATATTATACACACAAGCGTGGAGAAAAAATGGTGGGGATCGAAAGGAGACGAATAAGTTTGTACTGCTTAAAACCAAAGAATGATCTCGGCTTATAGTGTGGCGGGGAAAGTAGGTCCATTTGGGGATTGCATGGAGTGGGGGTAACCGCCCAAAGCGTTCTTTGGTTGCAAGTAGTATACTACCAGTAGTACCTCTCTACCTCTGTCATTTGTGATTGGATCTGACGTATAACTCATCATTTGTGTCTTTCTTTCCCCCACACATTTTCATCAACTAAGTGTTCAAACATTAGATACATGTGATTTGTTACTGTGATTTATTAACCAACTTGACAGGATTTAGAGAACAAACGTGAACGGAGGTGAGAATTAAGTAGGTTTCATGGGAGACACAAGAGGTAACTTGCGGTGTGTAAAGACGGAAGAGAACGCGCCAGTGTTGATGAGAGGCGTCTTCTGACCATCTAATTCAGTGTTAGAAATTCACATTACGAGGGGAGCAAAACAGAGCGTAAAATCAGCCATGCTCTTCAATGCTATCGTGAAAGAATTTACTGCGTAAATTTGCAGCATGAAGTATCGAAGGAACACGTAGTTTCCTCGATTTTTTGAACCAACTGACGACCTACTACTATGTACTCGAACGTCGAATGAGTGTATTCCAGAGGCAGAAAAGATCATTAATACCTGGTGATAAAGGAGTTTGAAGATACACATAATTTTGACAGAAGAGGAGAACAATATTCAGGAAGATGGACGCCAATGTGGAGAGAGAGTGCAGCGCCCTGGGCGGGCTTTTCAATCAAATTATTGCGGATATGAAGGTAATCATTGTGTATTTTTATCCATTTAAAGGACAATGCTTTTATGACATTCATCTTGCACGTTGTTCTTTGAAATTTGTTGTCTTGTTGTGAAAGTATGGCATTTACTGTTCGATTTCATTGACATTTCCTCAAATTTAAAGAGCAATTTGAATTCCAGAATGGAACACCACTGTGGGAAGATTTAATATCAAAAGCAACAAAACTTCATGCTTGTCTGAGAGCAGCTATTCTAGCAGTATCAGCCTATCTCGAGGCGTTCCAAAAGATTGCTGATGCTGCGACCAACGCCAAAGGTGCGACTAAAGAAATTGGCACCGCCTTGACGAGGATATGTCTGCGTCATAAGGCTGTTGAAACAAGGATGAAATCTTTCACATGGTACTGATAATATATCATATTAATCTCATCACATAACTATTCATCGTCTCGAGTCTTTATTAAACTTGAGCTTATTTTTTAACTTTTCCATTTTGATCTACTTCGAAACAAATTGAGTGATAAACTTGGTGTCAATTTTCGTTTAAATTCATATGGAAGAAAATCAATATTTCAAGCAGTGCATCAACTTAATTTCGATAACTTTTCGAAACTGTATTATTTTGCCCTCCAGTGCAATTGTATTTCTACTAAATAGGCATTTGTTCGTAATTTTAATCGTACTTTTTGTAACGTGTTTCATTTTCATGTATTTCATATTAAAAAATTATAGACTTAACAAATGGTTAATGAGAAAAATAAATGTTTGATGTTTAGCGCAATTATGGACCGACTCGTGATGCCCCTTCAAGAGAAACTGGAAGACTGGAAAAAAACCCTAATAAATCTGGATAAAGAGCATTCTAAAGAGTACAAAAGAGCCAAGTCCGAGTTGAAGAAGCGTTCAACCGACACACTAAGACTGCAAAAGAAAAAAGCAAGGAAGGCCATTGTGCAGAGTCATGGGCATAGTCAAACAGCAACTTTACAAGCCCAAGGTAACCGTATTGATGATTCGGAATTAAACAGATTACTCGAGTCGTCAGAGGCGAGTGTTCACGAGAAACGCTTGAGTTTAGAAGAAACTGAACGCAAAGCTGTGCGTGCCGCACTGTTAGAAGAACGTGGACGATTCTGCCAGTTTGCTAAATTTCTGAGACCAGTGCTGGATGAAGAAATATCGATGTTGATGGAGCTGACTCACTTGCAAGAGGTTTCTGATCAGCTGGAACGGCATGTAGCATCACCTCACGATTTGCCAGCAGCCTCTGAACAAGTTATCACCGATTTAAAGGGGAGAGAAATGACACAGTGGGCATTAGCAACGCCACCATCAAGCCCATCATTGTCACTCGGGTCTAGAAAAAGTTCGATGTGCTCAATAAGTTCGCTAAATAGCAGCTCAAGTGGTTCATGCAAAAATCATCCAAATTCATGCACCCATCAATGGCACAGATCAATGTCCCAGGTAATTTTGAAAAAAAAAAAGCGAGGGAGAGAGAAAGCACTCTATGAAATTGAGCGAACTGCATTTTTTTCATTAACCAATTGTAGTTTTTTTATCCCATATTCCATGTTGTTTCTGTGCATTGCCCTTTGCCTGATTTCGAGTTTTTTTTCTTATTACTTTTTCGTTATGAATGTTTTTTGGTAGTCGATGTTGTATAATCGTTGTAGCCAATTGGTACGAGACCCTTCAGCATCGCAGATACGGGGACAACGACACTTAGACACTTGTCGAGTGGATGTTCACGTGATTCTGGATTTACTTCACAGGATACGCTTTATAGGCAACCTATTTCTGAGTATCAGGTAATTACAGAGGCTAGCTAATGGATACGGCCTATCTTTCGCTTTTTATCGATTTTATGACTTGAAAAACCAATTAACAAAAATTCTGCGGCTAAGTAGGATGATCATACTATCATATACAGTGATTCCTCATTTTTTTCTATTCTTGGAGTAAGAAAAAACGAAAAAGAAGACATCTTTTGCATACATCTTTGGGGTCTTTGGCATGTTTTTCTCCTAGTAGTGGTTGAATAATGTTCTTCAAATAAGAAGAACCGTATTTCACTTGAGCACAGAGTTGTTGCATAAAAATTTTATTCTGAAGCTTTTCCACCCATTTTTTTTTCATTCGCAGGTATCCAATGTGTCTTCCCATAGTAATCAAAATAACTGTCCAACGAAATCCTCGACAAATGCGACCTGGCCCGATCTCCAAGAGACGGCAGCTCTCGAAAGGCAAGTTCAACCGTCAGCAGTGAACGAAAGACCCCACACAATCTCGTCAGCATACGAAAAAGGACATCAGAGACCTGCACTGAGTGTTTATACATTCCAAGCACCCGATTCTGGATGTTGCCATAGCCAGCCTGCATCACCAGTCTCATCACCACCCTCAAATCCCCAGTTAGCACGTGTACAAATGCGTAAAAATAGTGCTGGCAACCTGAGGCCACCGATTCCGAGCCGATGCTCCAGTTTAGAAAGACCTACCGTTACGGGAGGAAAAAATGAGGGAACTGCAACAAATCGGGGGAAACCAAAGCTACCATTACCTGCGCATTTGATGAAAGGTTTGCAGTATTTTATTTCGATTGATAATATAATGATTCCCTCGCTCTGTGTTGAAAAAAAATGAAAAAATCATGAAACAACCAAATACTTTGAATCGAATTTCTTCATTCACAAATTTGTCTCGGCGATTATTGTCATGTATTCTCGTACTCTCGGTAAATTTTATTCTACTCTAAGGAGATGGAAATCACTCGTGGAAGTTTAAACATTCATAAATGATTGATGTTCTTAAGATTTGGGAAATCATCAACAGCAACCCATGTACGTAAATATGCACGAACTGGCTAACTTGGCAGCTAATCGTGCTCAAGAGATGCAACTACCAGCAGCTGGACCTGCAGCCACCTCTGGCTCGATATCCAGAGCACAAACGTCAAGCAGCAATACAAATGAAAAGGTGAGGAGTCACTTTTTAAATTCATTAATCTACTGCAAAATTCAGGATCGCGGGTAAGTTTGTATTTATTAAAAGATGGATCTTATTTCTTGAATCGTCACGGCAGTTAAGGGAAAAACTTTATTAAAGAAGAAAATGCAAATTTACGTTGCAAGCTTTGATTTTTCAATAATCATATATCACTTGAAGTGATAAAACTTCCGCGGGATTTAGAGACTGAGAATGAAATAGTATAATGTGTTACAAGAGCATAAAGCTATACTTTTCCGCAGGCACCCTAAACCGCCCCGACAGGTGAACTTTTCCGACAAGTATACTATAAAAAAAAGGCCGTGACTATTCGCACCATTGCGTGAATCACTCCCGTACACTCCATACACTCCACGCATGCGTGAAGTTTGTGTGTTTCACGCAGCCGAATTTTCACACAGTTGAAGTTTCATACTACTGTGTGTTTCACGCAGTTGTATTTTTATACTACTGTGTGTTTCACGCAGGGGTATAAAAATACAACTGCGGGAAACACACAGTAGCCTTAAAACCTATTCTATTCGATTCCTGAGAAAATTTGGGTTCGGTATAGGCAGATGGACGGGTCAGAATTGCGGTTTTCCACTTCCCACCCCCTGTACAAGATGAATTAAATTAATTTTTTTTGGCATTTCCGTTTTTCGCGATTATCTCGGAAACTATGAGCGATAGAGCCTTGAAACCTATTCCATTCGATTCCTGAGAAAATTTGGGTTCCGTATAGGTAGATGGACGGGTCAGAATTGCGGTTTTCCACTTCCCACACCCTGTACAAGATGAATTAAATTAATTTTTTTTGGCATTTCCGTTTTTCGCGATTATCTCGGAAACTATGAGAGATAGAGCCTTGAAACCTATTCCATTCGATTCCTGAGAAAATTTGGGTTCCGTATAGACAGATGGACGGGTCAGAATTGCGTTTTTCCACTTCCCACACTCTATACAAGATGAATTAAATTAATTTTTTTTGGCATTTCCGTTTTTCGCGATTATCTCGGAAACTATGAGAGATAGAGCCTTAAAACCGAATTTGGGTCCCCTATAGGCAAGTGGACGGCTCAGAATTGCGTTTTTCCACTTCCTAGGCCGTATACAAGATGAATTATAGTACATTATGTCATGAGGGCGATAAGCGGCGCCCACATTGAGGGCGCTCACAAACCAACGCTATCGCCCGAATGGCATATACTATTTTTCGTCACGAAGGCCCGACGCGGGTGTGGG